ATTAAGTTAAACTACATTACTTAACTACTACTTAGTGGTTTCTAAAAGCAAAAAGGGTGCATTTAGATAAATTTTTTTTTCATTTTCTTTTAACCCTAATTTAAATGAGTTATATATTGTAATTTTTTTGTATAAAAACTTCTAAAATAAGGTTTTATACTGGTTCAATGAATTCAATTTAAATTTAATATTTTAGGATTGCTTTATTAAATTGTTATCTTTGAGATGCAAATGACTTCTAATTTGTATTGAGTTTAAATTGTAATAGTGAATGCTATTATATCTTCGAAATTTGCTGCTTCATCCAACTAGACTTATGAAGTTAAAGTCAACTCTACAACTTAAAGATAATCGCTGTTGTTAGTAAGAATATTCAAATTCATTTTAGGAGCTTTAACGAACATTCAAATTAACACTAATATCAATCATCGTAAGGGCCATTGTCACATTATTCATATTTCTCAATAACAATGCCTTCCCCAAAAATATTAATTTAATTCAGTTTCCAATCTGTTTAAATACAACCACAACATATCCCGTTAAGACAATCAAACATTATTATGAACATGAATATTTGCATTCGTAACATCCATCATAGGGAATCATTTTTCCATCATCACATTCCTCATCTTAACTTACTTTTTAATCCACACAATAAGAACAGATATTTTTTTAACTTTTTAAAAAAATTTAAATATCTCTTAGTTTTATAAATTAGTCGTCATTATTTAACAACATCAAAAAAGTTTACTAATTTGACTTCATTCTGAAATAAAAATATAGTTCTAATAATCATCTAAAGAGATATGGTTATTCATGCATCATTTTGAATCCAAAAGGCTAAAATTAAATAGAAGAAATGAAATTTTTGCTTTGAATTAAATTATTTAAATAATTGGATTTTCCATGTTCATCTTATAATAATGAAAATTATATAATCGGAGATAAGTAATAATAATTCTATTACTGAACAGCACATCTTATATGGAACATATTTTTAGATAAATAGAAACATAAACTATATAATAGCTTAATTGAATGAATTGTATTTGTTAATTAATTTTAGGTAGAATGATTAACTTTTAAATGTAATGTCTTTTGAAATATAACTTTAAAAATATCTAATGAGCTACCATCTAAAACAATTAATATCATTTATCCATCCTGGTTCGCATTCGCCAGTATCAAGTAATTGATGTGTGTAATTTTAGCATGAGTAAAAAAAATTGTAATTAACATTAGATGAATGTGATACCCATCAAAGCTTAAAATCCAACCTGTGTTACAACCGCATTCAAATCTACTATTGACAACTTTAACATACAGTAACAGATGTACAAGTAGCATATTAAGCAGCACAGGCCGAAAAATTAATGCCAGTTTGAAGAGAATCACACATTGTTGTTTATAATTTATAATAACCTGACTAACATAATGGAACATGAATAATTATTTGTACAACTTAAGCAATTAGATATGCAATTCACAAAAGAACCATTATCATTAAATTATCCTGTATCGCAACTCCAAGTTACTAAAATAGAATAAAGTGTCCTTACATATCC